CAGCCACGAAATTCAAAGATGCCTGCTTCTTGGAAGGAAAGCAATGATAAACCTAGATAGCACCTTAAAAAGCCACCCTTCCCCCCACCTTAATTCAAAATTTCTTTTGCTTGCCTGTTCATTTTCAGTTTTGAGTCAGTCTCTCTCTCTCTTCTCTCTCTCCCCCCTCTCTCACACACACACAAACACACACACACACACACCCATCCATCTATCCATCCACCCACGCTCCCTCCATTTCCTCCCTCCCTCCATTTCCTCCCTCCATTTTGTATGTTTAAATAAGTTTGATGAAGTCCTCGGTCTCTCGCACCTTTCTTCCCTCCCTTGCTTGCTCCTTGATCCTTTCTCCGCCTCCTGCTTGCTTGCATTCATTTCCGGAGAAAGCAGTCATTCAAAGCCCTGGATTGATTGATTGCTTGGGGCTGTTCCACAGCTGTAGCCAATTAAGCAGGCTTATCTCCCATGAATGGAGGATTTACAAGTGCCTGCTGCAACCAGGAAGTAACAGGGAGAGGTAGCTTACAATTTGGAGTTTGCCTGCAGAGGGTGGGGGTGGAAGGGAGGGGGTAGCACTCTGCTCATTACCCCCAGGATTTTCACTTTTACCCAGTTTGGGGTAATTTACCCCTGTCCCGACCTATGTTCTAAGGGAAGGTGCTGGGTATGATTACCCATCATGCTAAGCCATTATTTTTGTTAGTCATGGTTTGTTGCTTAAACCAAGAATAGCACAACAAATGACCAAACAAACAACAACTCTCTTCTTTTCTGGATTGTGTCTCTTGTGCCCCTTTTGAGAGCCTTTGTTTTAGGGTAGATAGCTAGAGAGATGAGCTGGTGGCAAGCCCTGGTTGTGTATTCCACATGTTACAACAATCCATGGATTTAAACAAATCAGAAGTCATAGGCCGAGAATAAACCATTGATTGAGTTTGTGATTTGTGTCTGGTTAACAAATTATTGCTTGTTAGCAGAGATAGGTTTGCACATCCCAACGAGCTGTTGACTCTAGCTTGTTTTGATGTTCAAATGGAGTCATTGTTTAACCTTATGGAAGCTCAGTGCCCAGTTTAACTACTTGTATAATTTCTGTTTAGTCTCTTTGGCTTAAGAGCCCATTTTTGGTGCTTGCTCACAATCTACCGTGTACACATAGCTGCTGACATAATGGACTTTGATAGACTTCCTGACTTGCTTTAGTAATGCAACAATCTCATGTATGCAAAGGACCTGAAGATCTTTTCCTGACATTGTACTGAATTGGGACACCATTCATTCCAAATGCACGTCAGAACTCCCACATTTACAAGGGACTAAGTGTTTGTCATACTGAAAATATGTATTCGCGAAGGCTTTCATGGCCGGGATCTCATGGTTGTTGTGGGTTTTTCGGGCTTTTTAGCCATGTTTTGAAAGTTGTTCTTCCGGACATTTCGCCAGTCTCTGTGGCCGGCATCTTCAGAGGACTGTCCTCTGAAGATGCTGGCCACAGAGACTGGCGAAACGTCAGGAAGAACAACCTTCAGAACATGGCTAAAAAGCCTGAAAGACCCACAACAACCATATTGAAAATAGTTTTTCACTTGCAGTTCATACTGTGGCATGGATATTGCCACTTCAATGGAATGTCAATGGGTAGCCATCTAGGAGTTTAATTTTTGCCTTCAGAAATCTGTGATTCAGATTTAGATTCTCCCCTCCCTTTCCCCTAATGCTCTTAAGCACATCACTAACCTTTCAGTTAGTTGTAGCAGATGGATGCTTGTATTTGTCCTTGGCTTCAGGCATATACGTCTAGAAATTTTTCCTGCATCCTTTGTCTTGTATTCTTTCTTGATAGTTCCAGTAATTCTAACAGATCAATGATTCTGTGTCTTTCATAGACATTGCAGCAAAGTGCTCATTGCTGAGTTGGCCGTATGCCATTTGATTTTATTACTAATTCAACAACTGCAGTTTTTTGTTTCCTTTGCCCTCCTAATCTATAAACTGCTAACAGAGGGCAAATGTTTTGTTACTGAGGTCAGATTCCTTAAGCTAGCTGTCTAAACACTGAAGCAGTGATTATCTGAGCACTTCGCCTAAGCCAGCTTTTGGAATGGCGTTATGGAGCTGTCAGATGCTTGACGGGGAAGAAAGGAAGAAATGTTGTTTATAAAGCTGACAACATAGTAGTTATACCAAGGTCACAACACTTACATTGCATCATTTGAAATGTCGTCATTTTATACCAGAAGCCAAGTATGTAGCCCATTAAGATGGGTTTAGTCCACAGACAGCTGGGCAAAGAAATTAGTTAATTGAATTGTTGATAAAACATATAGTTTGGTGATGATTCATATCATCTCATATCCAAAATCATGTTAAACAGTATGGAAATTGATGGTAGAGCATAGTTCCTTATAAAAAAACACACTGAGGTGAAACCAATAGTCTGTCTAGCCCATAGCTTTTCATCTGTTTTGATGAGGTTTTTATCCTTTAGGTTTTCCAGAGCTTTTTTAATGTCTGTTTTAATCAGTAGCAGCCCCAGATTTTGGGCAGAACTTGGGCTCTCCTTGTCACGAAGCTGGGCCCAGTTCTTACTTAATACCCCTCTTTTCTTTCATTGCAACTCACGCCCCTAAATCTCCTCATTTAGGCTACAGAGAACAGGTGGCTGAAGAGAGTATCCATGTAAATCTTGTGAGAATTAAAAAAAAAATCACAAAACAGTTTTTCCTCCCCTGCAAGAGGTCAAAACATTTTTCAATGGTCTCAGTTAGAATTTTCTCGTTTATGAAAAAGTCATTTTGTGCAGATTTCTTAAACCTGGAGGACAAAAGTGCTCCTTATGATGGACCACTGTATCTAAAACAATGAGGAAAAGTAAAAGGTAAAAAATAAACATAAAGCTTTTCCTTCATGACTGGTAGTCTGAGAAGGATCGTTTTGAGTTCCTTGTTTTAAATGTTTTTTGGTATTGATTTTATTTACCATTTTTAATATAATACTTGTTTTATTCTTTTTGCTATTTTAAAATATTGTTTAATGTTTGTATATTTACTGTTTTAGCTTTTGAATACTGTCCTTTTTATGATGTAAGCCGCCTTGGGTCCCCTTTGGGGAGAAAGGTGGGTTACAAATATTAATGAAATAAATAAAATAAACACGTGAACCATCCGTAGAAACAAAGTTCTGTGGTAGCTTTTCAGGGTCTCAGGCAAACAAAGGTCTTTCCCTTTACTTGCTGCCCTAGTCCTTTTGCTGGAGATGAGAGAAACTGAAAATGCGCCATTCTGAATACGAAGCATGTGCCCTGTTCCTGGGCTACCTTCACTTACCCCAAAATCTTGTTTGACATGTATCCAGTTGACTTTCACACATTAAGTATGCATATGTATAATATATTACACGAAATCTTAACAAGTTTTTTATTTTTCAGGGATGGGAAAGACATGGTGGATTTTGTTACACCGTCGACATAACCCCTCGAAGCTTTGATCATTCATCCAGTGGTTATTACTGTCCCTCACTTGCAACAATAACAAACAGGTAGGCATCTCTTACTAGAATGTTTAAAGCTTTAATTTATATAAACAGATAATAAAACACTGTCTTTTTCTCCATCTGCTCTCTTGTGGCACCCGAGAAGAAGATACTACAATCGGCTAGCTGACTAAGAGCTTGTTCAGACAGAGAATTTGTTCAATAATTCATGGATTGTGTACTGATAGTATTAGTATTTTCCCCAGCATCCAGATGACAAAAGGCTTCAGTCGGTACCAACAATGATGCACCAGTGGCAGAAACCCTGTCATTCCATGTATTTATAAAATCATGGATGTGTTTGCTTGTCTGTTTTGCTTTGTACCAAAGGTGAATTTCTGCCGGCCAGAAGTTTCTGAGTCAGACGGTGTCACTTATATACCACCAATCTATTAAAACAAAAATGAAATGAAAAAAGAAGAATTTAAAGAGTTTTTCCTCAGCATTTTTGAAAGTGTTGTTTTGAAAGATAGATGATCTGTTAAGTGGATTAGCAGTGGAACTCTGCTCTGATCAGAATGGAAGAGTCCTGCAGAACTCAACATTTTAGTCATCCCATAAATGACAGCCATGGTTATTTTTGCTTACAAAACTGATGTATTGGACTAACTGGTCAAATACGCAGTTTGTCATTACTTGAATGAAGAAGCTACATATAAAATCCATCAGTTACTGCTAGCTTGCTTGATATGTTTTGTGACGTGCAGTTATTCATGCAAACAGGAATGCAGAAGTTTTAATTCATTGACTGTTGATTTGTAGCATTTTAATTACAGCAAGTGGACAAAAACATTCTCATAAATTCCACATCCAGCTAGTTAAATGGCGAGTATGGTGTGTGTTTTTAAAGCCATCCCTACTTTGCCTATGGAGAAATGTACAGTTCCAATGGCCGAAATCCTGAAGCCAAATTGTAACCTTTGATCTGTTCCTCTTTGATAAACAAAACTTCCCCACTGCAGTTGGGGGGGCACACATGCCTACACACACACAGCCAGTGGGTGTGCATGACCTTGAATATTGTGGCAGTTTGTTTACCGGAGAGGAACAGAATAAAAATTATGATTTGGCTCATGCTAAGCAACAGGATTTTAGCCAGTGTGTTTGACTTGCATTTCCATTAATAGGACATTTTCTACTACTACATTGCCTCTTACTTTATTCTTAGTTTAGAGTTGCTCCCTGAAGGTGCCATATGCTCCTCTAGGAGTTTGCCTCATTTAGCTTAGTGGGGTTTTCTTTTGAGTACATCTGTTAGCATTGCATTGTAAATTGTCCTATTTGAACCGGCAGTTTGTGCCCATCTCTAGACAGAACAGTTTCCTCCAGGACTTGCTTTCTGTATATATTGCTGGAGGTGGTCGATAAGAATTGGCACTAAGATTGTGATATAATTAATCTAATGACATATTTGTATTTTGATATGTTTTAAAGGTTTGAACAAGCATTTATCAGCAGTATGATTCGCAACATGGTGAAAATGGATATCCCTTATTTTTGGATAGCACTACAAGATATGAACAACACAGGAGAGTACACTTGGCTAAGTCAAGATGGAAAGACTCATCAGAACACCTTTGCAAACTGGAAAAAATATCAGCCTCGTGAGTTCCTATTGCCTATTGGTTCATTTATTATTTTGGGGGGCAAATTAAGTACTGTTCCGTACTTTTGTCTCTCACTTGTTATGCATTTCTTTTAATATGATTTTATTATTTTTTTAAATATCTTTTAATATGATTTTATTATTTTTTAATTCAGTTTCTAGACTGCCCATCTAGCAATTTGCTACTCTGGGTGATGTACAACAGGAATCAGCACAATTTATCTAAAACAAATTTATAATATACTAATTCTTCTCTCCAAGTGATTTTAGTGATCATATCCTGCGGCGAGATCTGTTGATACTGGATAGGTTTTAAATAAATAAAAAATACTTCTATTTTTGATGGGCTGTTGGATATGGCAGTAGATTTGGCACAATTTCAGCACACTACACACTTACTGTATAATCTTATGTTATGTTGCACAGGAAAAAGTAAAACTCATTGTGTTCTGTGAGACTTGCTTCCTAATAAGTATGTTTGCAGAAGTAATCAAATTCCATAGCTGTTAACAAGTCAGAAACTTACCTGAATAGCAGCTTCTTTTGAACAAAGAACATGCTGGCACTATAATTATAACTGGATTGTTGGCACTGACCTGCATATTGCAAAATGCTTTTTCTGTTGGCAAGTTTTGTATATATCTCAGAACCTGCTGTTTACCTACTTGGGACAACACTCTGACCATCTTTGCATGTTGCTGCCATTAGGTATCACACACCCGTTTTAAATCTACATCATTTTGTACTTTTATTAATTACACATTTTATCTACGCTTGAGAAATGAATGTGTCTGGTTTATGAAAGGAATTATTCCTCTTCTCCTTCAACAGTGACCTCTACTGGCTGAGGACAGGAAAAAAATAATCAGTATGTTAGCAGATTTCAAAGACACACCAGACAAGTTTATTGTATTAGCTAAAAGCCGTCACAATTGTTTAAAATACAGATATGGTCAATTAAAATCATGATAAAACCACAGACATATAAAATAATAAGAGACCCCTCATATCTGAGAATCTCCCACACAATTGATCGCAATGGCTTTCAGAAAATTAGCCAGATTTCAAAGACAGTTTTTGGTGTTTTCTATTATTTTTCTAGATAATTAGAACTACCTATAATTATGATCATTTGTCAGTATGAGAGTGCTTGAGTAAGGTTTTATATGGCAGCATACTCAGATTCCAGCATACCTCTATGTAATATGTCCAGACGGTTATGTGCGTAACGTATTTTGGATGTAGTTGAATTTAGAAGAAATCACAATCTGTAGCAGAAAGAATGGCACAGGGAAGGGGAGAGTAAAAGGCATCAACCTTGTAAATGCAGGAACAAAGGAATTTATATATCTGACTCTACGGTTTACTGAAGCATAATAATTTAAAACATACTGAACAAGTTCTTGTGTCACCTATAATCAGTTCCTATATGTTTTCGGTACAAGCACTGGCTTTAATTTCAGACTGTAGTCAGTGCAACCCTATAATTACTCAGAAATAAGTCCTATTATATTCAGTGGGATTCACTTGCTAATAAGCATGCACAGGATTCAGCAATAACATATAAATGTAGTACAGACATATCTTAACATCCCAGCTGGATTGAGTATCTCAACCAAATGAAAGAATAAGGATATTTATTCTCTAGCAACAAAAGTAATGTAGTGCTTTATTTTGCTATGAAGTGAAGCTGCTTGATAAACTAATCTGGGAAGTGTGGTAACAATTACAATTAACGCAATTGCTAGCAATTTTTTCTTGTCCAGCTGAAAATGTTACCTTTAGTTAATAGAAAGCAAGGTTCATAATGTTAGAAAGTGAGATGATAACAATTTTAGAAATACCATTTAAGTTCCTTGTTCAGTTTTAAACATTGTTTTTGTTTTAGTAAGAGATATTTATTCTTTAGATAGCATTGAATGGTACAAAATCATTATGCGTTACTTAGGCTTAGCCTTACTAAGCTGTAGTTGGAATCTTATTAGTAACATTTCTGCAACTTACTGCAGCTAATTGACGACGGGCTGGGCTGCACCCCAGTTGCATAATTGTCACATGACTGGCATGCAACCAAAAGGCACCCTGGCACCTTCTCAATTAGCTGCAAATAGCTGTAGCAAGTCACACAAACCTTGTACAAACCTTGTACACAAACCTTGTTCTGGCCTGTAACATTTTTAAAAGTATATTTTGTGATTAACAAAACCTACAAGAAAAATCTATGCTTGATATTAAATCCTCCCCCTTTTCATAGGATATTCTGGAGGATGTGCTGTTATTCGTCAGGAAAAGCCCATTGGTGTTTGGGAAGTAAAAAACTGTACAAGCTTCAAAGCAATGTCACTCTGTAAGCAAGAGGCTAAATTCCACAGAGAAAATTACCCTGATGAAGAACCACATGTTGAAAAACCTTTTGACTCTTGCATGTTTGGATGGGAATCTAACCATAATCTGCTGAACTGCTATAAGGTAAATGGGCTCAAAAATCTTATTGACAACTTAAAATAAAATGGACTTAGGGCTTTATTACTATTAAGATTGAGAAACAACACAATAGATATTAGTATAGGCAAAAGTCGTACATACTTAAATTAATTCTGTTTCACCATTTTTGATCGATTTTTCCTGATTTTTTCCTTCCTAGTTTGACTTCTGGAAATGCTTTACACATTTAGTATAACCGCCTCAAGTTATTATTCTACAGAGTTAATCTGTCTGTCCCACATGCTTGGAATTTTGGAGAGCTCAATAAATGTGCATGCTTCCTTGTGTGCATCTGCATGAATAACTTAAGCATCATGCAGTGAGCAGCCTACCATTTCCAAACATTACAGACGATAAAATATATTTTGAGTTTATGATGGAATCTTGTGGGGCCTTTTGTTGTTGTTGTTTTTACATCTGATATATATATTTAAGTCAGCAAAGAAACTGGATCTGTGAAACTAGTGCAGAGGGGAAACATGAAAACAATGTTCAATGAGCCAAGTACTGTAGAACCATTACTAGGGTGTAATAGCTTGTGGAGAGTCTTGGGCTGTGACGTGTGTTAAGTGGTTTATATACTAATTTTTGTTTTCTACAATGACGTTTTGGAAGAACTGGAATAGTGTCATATGTGTGTATGCGTATGTTACATTCATGTGCTGGTGAAGAATTCACCAGTACATGAAGGCAGTTTTCCCTGTTTTTTACCATCTCAACAAGGCTGGGTGGTCGATTAGGTTGAATTAAAAGCCCTGTTCAGCCCCACCCATCAGCCTCCTGTCTTGCTGCAGAAGGTTGACCAAACTCCACACAAGCAGAAGTCCTGCCTTGTGAAGGTTTCCAGTCAGATGAGCTGTGTCCTTGCATCCAGTCCAGTGGGGTTACATCTGCTTTTCCCTAGCAGGGAAAGGAAGTCAGGACCTGCAGAGGTGGGGCTGGAGTGTGTCATCTTGGGAGTCTCACGGCTGCGTGGCATTTGAATCTGGGGCTTCGCAAGTCCTTGTCCAGCAGCACAGACTCCGATTCTGGCAAAACTACAGAAAACGAAAATAGCAAAATCCATGTTTTATTAAACCAAATCTCTGTCATTTGATAAAGTGTTTTAAGTGGTGCTTGGTTTCTTACACAGGTGTTTCACAGTGAAAAAGTACTCATGAAAAGGTCTTGGGCAGACGCAGAGACATTGTGTCAAGATTTCGGAGCACATCTTGCTAGTTTTACTCATGCTTTTGAAGAGGATTTCTTAAACAAACTTTTGAATACAATGTTTCATATGTAAGTCTGAGATTAATCTCTCTCTCTCCCTCTCTCCCCTGTTTTGGAATTAAAACCAGTGAGAGTTCTTGCCCTGAACAGCAAACTTTCTTTTATATTCTCATCAGAAAGGGTAGAAAAACCCAATGTATTTTCTTTTCATTTGAATTGGAAATTTAAACCTATGAGGAGTAGAGTATTCCTTACAATAATACATAATGCAAACAACACGTGCATAGAAACATCAAAAGTGCTGCCTCTTGCATTTCTTGATCACTGTTCACAATTTCCTTTGTTTTTCCCATGTAAGAAAAGAGGGTCTAGTCCATCCAAAAAAACCATATCACAGTAACTTTCTGGCTTTTGAATTCCTCAGGCTTTCATGTTTACTTGCTTACTTATCTGATATCTTGATTTTCTCCCTTCAAGCTGGCATGTACAGTAATGTTGACCAAGTTATGCAAGTTTGCTGTTTAAAAAAAAGACCTCTGGAACTTTGTGGATGGAGAGGAAGTGTTAAGTTTTTTTTTTTTTCAAAACTGCAGTGATTTTAGCCTGTTTTCTCCTTAGAACTAATGGAGGTCTTACTACACAGATGTTTGTGTCAGGGCAGTTTGCTTCTAATTTTTGCTCAATTTCTAAAACATCAAAAATAGGTCTGCCTTTCAGAGAAGCTCAGGAGTAAATCCAAAATGACAACAGTCATTTAAAAGTGCAGCTCCAAACACAGATCTCATGTTCATGTTTGCAACTGCAGTTGATTTTTTTCTCCCTGCGTACAGATATGTATCTGTCTTTTAATCACAGTGATGAAGAAAGACAATTTTGGATTGGACTTAACAAAAGGAACCCATTATCTGGAGGATCCTGGGAATGGTCTGATGGAACTCCTGTAAATATTTTTTTCTTAATACTTTAGAATACTTAGCAAAATAGAAAACACTGGTTTGCATCCAGTGCTCAGTTTCCATCCACCTGTGGAAACCAGGACACTCAATATTTGGTGATCCCACCTTACTTAAGCTCATTCACACCTACCACCAAGCTGCCCCTAAGCGTTGTGGATTTTGCATGAGTGGAAATGCTTTCTGCTAAGACAAAGCTAGCACGAGATACAATGTGTTGTTCCTACACACCTGCCTGCACTAATTGTTATCATGTACAGAGATACAAGATACAATATGTTGTTCCTACACACCTGCCTGCTTTGTGGGTGATGCATTTCCTGCCCATTCAATAAAAGCTTCCATCTATGGCAATTTTTGCACATGATAAACCAGAGTTCTGGAGAATTCTGGCTTATCAGTAATAAGCCGTATATCAGTAAATCCTGCCTGATTGCTCTGGCTTGGCCCCTGTTGCTTTCAAATCATGGTGATTACAACAGCTTACATTTTTGGCTTGTTCCGGATTGCCACGTTTGGATGTTGCATTGAATAAGTCACAAGACAGAGATCTATGGTGTGTTTAGCCATTCCCACTAGCCAAACAGAAGTATTTGGGCATGACACATAGTTATCAATGAGCAAAGATTCTTTGCAACAATGCATGCTCATTGCATGTGGGTCCAGTCTACATCTTTATGACTACTGACAAGCTCTTGCCTTGACATATTAAGAAATTTGTTTTTAAACCATAGTGTTCAAAGGGAATTTAAAATGTGTGAGTCTGAACATCGAGCATGATGTGAGTGAGGAAGAAATACAGTTAAACTAAACAACAATGCACTAATTGTTATCATGTACAGAGATACCACATTTTGACTATAATTGTCAAACCATTTATTTAGAATTTTTTCATTGCTTACCAGTAACACATTTTTCTAGGACTGCTCGAACACTTGGGATGGCTATCTGTACACACACACAGGGAATTAAAAGCCACCCCATTTTTATTGGACTGGATTGTTTTAGTTGGTCTTTCAATTTTAAATAGTACCTGTATATGTACAGTGGTGCCCCGCATAGCGAGGTTAATCCGTTCCGGATTAACCGCTGCTATGGGGAAACATCGCTATACGGAACCGAAAACGCCATAGAAACGCATTAAACTTAGTTTAATGCGTTCCTATGGCTCCTAAACTCACCGTTATGCAAAGTTTCCCCATAGCGCCGCCATTTTCGCGCCCTCGGTAAGTGAGGGCAGGGCGCGAAAATGGTGCGGGCGGCCATTTTGGGCGTCCGGCGGCCATTTTGGAACTGCTGATCAGCTGTTTTAAAAAATCGCTATGCGAAAATCGGTAAGCGAAACACCGCAATGCAATCGCTTTTGTGATCGCAATTGCGACGTCGCTATGCAGATTCGTTGTTAAATGGTGCGCTCATTAAGTGAGGCACCACTATATATAGAACCAGGGGACTATTTTTTTCCCATGTAGTGTTTTTCATAAAAGGCAGAAATGGTGATTTACAGATGTGTGCCCATAAGACACAGTGTTTGGGTGCTAATTCAAATCTTAATAAATGCAGCATAGGAAGTGTTTTTCAGATGTCCCTCAATAATCAGATGGAGGAACATGCACTATGTATTTCAAAAGTCTCTTCCTTTGTGATGTATTTGAATGTTGTCCCTGAATCACACTTCAGTTTAATTAACCTGTTTTGTGACAGGTTGCCTCTGCCTTCTTGGAGAACACTTACATTGAAGATAACGTGAGGAGCTGTGCTGCGTATGAAATAAATGGAACAGTCCTGCCCTTACCCTGCAATTCAGAGCGAGAATGGATATGCAAAATACCCAAAGGTAAAAAAGATGTATGATTGAGGGAGCCTCGTGGCACAGTGGTTAAACTGCTGTACCATAGCCAAAACTGTGCCCATGACCCAGGGTTCAATCCCAGGTAGCGGCTCAAGGTTGACTCAGCATTCTGTTCTTCCGAGGCTGGTAAAATGAGTACCCGGCTCACGGGGGGGCGGGGGATGTGTAGCCTGCATAATTAACTTGTAAACCGCCCAGAGAGTGCTTGAAGCGCTATGGGGCAATATATAAGCAGCACGCATTGATCAATGGGAAGAGCACATCTCTGGTGGGCAGAAAGTTCCTAGTTTGGTCCCCAATATCTTCAGCTTACAAAGGATCCTGTAGCAGGAGATCATAAAGGCTGGAGTTCCAGGCCCACTGAAGGGGGGCTGCCTATCAGAGTAGCTGGTACACAGCTGGATTGATACATTTTTGGATTAGTCCAAGAGAACTTTGCATCTTCATACACAGCTCAGGTTACCGAGCATTTCAGAATGGTCTTGTCCTCATGTCAGCAGAACATGCTTATAGCTACTACCATCTGCATATTAAGAAACAGAAGATTGCTATTCTATTTAGCATTTGTATAGCCTGTTCATTTGTTTATAGTTCTCTGTATCAGAGAACATTTTATAAGCGAGCAAATAATAATACACATGCAGAGCTAAGTCCAATGTTAAGTCTGTCTAGAGCAGTCCCATTGATTAGGGCTTCTTGGTCACAACTAAATTTAAAAAAAAAAACTATTTTAGTGGTTTTCCTCTACCCATAGCTACATAAATTGTATTAAAGTTACTGTACGGTTGGTACAAAACCTGCACAATATTCTTCAAATTTTATTTTATTTTTATTATAGGTGTAAAACCCAAGATTCCACAGTGGTATATTAATGGTATGGGAAAAATTAAATTACCTACCAAATGGTATGATTAAATGAACATATAAGTGTGAAAGTAGTTGAACATTTGCTAATATTTTCCTTAAATGTGTAAGTACAACAAGTTGCTCAAAGGTAACTGGTAGTTTGTCTTGGCTTATTTATTTTGTTGTTGTTCAGTCGTTAAGTTGTGTCCGACTCTTCGTGACCCCGTGGACCAGAGCACGCCAGGCCCTCCTGTCTTCCACTGCCTCCTGGAGTTTGGTCAAAGTCATGTTGGTAGCTTCGATGACTCGGACCAACCATCTCGTCCTCTGACATCTCCTTCTCTTCTTGCCTTCACACTTTCCCAACATCAGGGTCTTTTCCAGGGAGTCTTCTCTTCTCATGAGATGGCCAAGGTACTGGAGCCTCAGCTTCAGGATCTGTCCTTAGCTTCAGTTAAAAACCAACTTTTATCACAGAAGAAATTCTGTAAAATTAATTGTAGCAGCTTCTCTCAAACAGAAGTTTTAGATGCTTTAGCAACATATTACCACTAGGGGTGCATCTTTATCCTCAAATACTGCTTCATTCCCAAAGTAAAGTACTTCTTGAAGGGCTGTTGAGGTATTTAAACAGATATGCACAAAGTGATAGAACTCTTTTAGTTTTTGATCATGACTTTCAAGGGGAATGCATCATAACAAGGGGCTTGAGAAATCTAGGCTTGACGTTGGTTCACATCACTCTTAAAATGTGGCAAAGTCAAACAAACAGACTTTCCTGGCACAGAAAAAGCTATAGGTACGATACTTTACCAAACAACGCAAGGCAGGTCCTTGCCTTAAAAAAATAATGTTCTAAGTTTCAGCTATGGGGGAAAACTCCAAAAGGAAGGGATAAAGGATGAGGTATGGTATTGTCTAGAGCAAATAGAAGGCATTGTGCTAACTCATATTCGGTCAGAATCCTATTAGGTATGCCTGCCCGCATAATTCAGCAGCAAACTGCTGCAAGTTAAGAAGTCAGCTTTAGGCATTTGCCATTGTGTATCAAGTTGTGTGACACAAGGCACAACAGCGAATGTCTATGTCGATTTCTTAACTTGCAGGATGTCACTGCTGATTTCATTGTAGAAAATTAAGTACAGTATGTAAATAATTTCCATTTTAAATGGATGTGACCTCTTTGGAAGGAATTTGCCTTTATTCTGTCTCACCTTGATTTTCATAGTGCAAAATTAACACAGCACAGTAGTAGTTGTATGGAAATAATGGGGGACCTATGCTCTCCGGAAGTTGTTGGGCCCCAACTTCCATCAGCTCCACCCAGCAGATTGAACTATCATGGGAATAGTAGCTCAGTATCTTGGAATACCTACCTCGACAGCTAGGGAGCATGTTATTTTTGAGTTATTAGTGAAGCACTGCATTTGCCATCAGTATGCCCAGTTCTGTAAATGCAGTGATTTCAAGAAGCACCAGAATGCAATTTAGGGTTTACTTGGATATTTGTTGAAGAGTTGTGGAATGTAATTGTGTGAAACGTCAATTCTGTGATACACAGTACAATAAGAATAAAACTGTATAAAGCATCCAGATTTCCCCATGTTTATATTCAAACAGTTTATATTTACCTTGATTTTTTTTTTAAAGAGCCAGCCTGGTTTTATTATCAAGGAGCAGAATACCTTTTTTATGACAGCGCCTCAGACTGGGCTACTTTTCAGTTTGTTTGCGGTTGGCTCCGTGGTGATATAGTCACAATACACTCCTCCAAAGAACAAGAGTTTATTCAAACCAGAATTAAAAAGGTAATGTCTGTCTAAATATTTTCTCAATTTTTTTTCAGGGAATAGTGATTGGTCTTTTCTCCATTACATAAACTTTGTGAATTATGTACAACATATCCTCGAGGGGGGAAAAAGTTGGGTCTTCTGGTAACTTCTCTGTCTAACAGTGACATCAAGGCAGTTTCTTTGCTCTACATTTTTTGAGCCAGGTGAGGGGCTTAGGGGCAGTCTTGATAAGACAGATGTGATGCTGTGGAGACATTAGTGGAAGATGCTGCGCATGTAAGTTTTGCTTCCACCAATCTGTCTTTCTTTTGCTATGATAACATATGAAGCTTCAAAGTGAAAAACTGTTCGTGAAAGTTAGATGACCACTGAAGGATAAAAATGAATGATTCATAGAAATGCTGCAACTCTTCCTCTTAACAGCAAAATCCTGTACACCCCTTGTCAGAAGTATACCCCACTGAGGCTTCGTTCAGGTCAAACAGCAACCTTATGTGCTTATCAAACCTTCAAAACAATCAAATTTGAGTTCTTCCACCGATTCATAGAAATGCTGCAACTCTTCTTCTTAACAGCAAAATCCTGTACGCCCCTTGTCAGAAGTAAAGCCCACTGAGGTCAAACGGCAACCTTATGTGCTTGTCAAACATTCAAAACAATCAAATTTGAGTTCTTCCACTTACTCTTTCTGGTATTACCATTTAAATGCATTTAGCAAACTTCAGTTAATGCAAATGCCTAATAGAAGAGTGTGAACAGGTTCTTCTCCTCCTGGGGACGGCCCCTCACTTTCAGCGGGAAATAATAAAGGAGTCGTCTTTATAACTTTCATCTTTATTTTCTCCAACATCCACCAGCACTTCACTTATAGGGTCAAACGGTTTCAACTCCGACAACAGGCCACAACTATCAGACATAAAACTCTTATTGTAATCCCATGGACTCAATGGTGGGAGTCCCCACGCCATTCCTTGGACTCCGGTCTCTGGGGTGGAGTGCTCCGAATCACACAGATAGTCCTGCAACATGTATGGCGCACCCACCCCCTCTCATCCGGTCCCTCAGGGAAGTGAGCTTCTGAGGCTTCCCGTTCACGCTGCAACTCAACTTTGCGAGGTGCCACAATTACAGTCCGTTCTCTTGTTACGTACCAGCTTAATTTCTCTCTTTCGACCTCCGGGACCGGCAAGAGTCCACTGACTTTTAAGTTCGGAAAATCCCGTATCAGGCTCTGAGTGTGAATTCTCTTAAACACTCTTTTTCATTCCTCTTGCTTCTTTTTCTCATATTCCTCCACTACACTACTAAACCATCTCATCCCTTCTTCATTTATATCCTCATCCCAAACCGCTACTTCTTGCTCCGCCCAATCCCCTTCTATTAATCCCTCTGCTAAGCAAACCTCAGTTGTTCCTGCTTCATTTTCTGATTTCAACTCTCCCGCCTTTTCTGTAACTGCCATTGCTTCTGTCTGTTGATCCCCTCCATTTGTCTTTTCTTCTTTGCCTACGTCTCTTACAATCAAAAACGGCACGCTTCCACTCTCCGCTCCTTCACAAAGAGAGTGCCTGCTTCTGTGTGAATCCCCCTTTCGTGCTGTAGGCCCATCCCATCCTTATCCAAGAAGAGGGACTCTTCCAGATAGAGCCGCCACCATTCCTTTCTGTTGCTTTGTGCCAAAGGAGTACAGGGCCAAGCCAGGATTTGCATCAAAACATCTCTTTTATAACCCATCTTCTCTTTAAGGAAAAGTTAAGAACTCCACTTCCTTACTGGAGCGTCTACACTAGAATTTTGTTTTGCTTAGCTTACTGTCTTAGCTTGCCTTGCCTTTGCTTAGCTTAGTTTAGCTTAGCTTACCTTATCATAGCTTGACTTTTGAGTGCTAATTGACAGTTTATAATGTTATCTTAGAACTGCAGAGCTGGAAGGGACCCTAGGGATCATCAGGTCCAGCCCCTACCAAGAGGGCACAGTGGGGGAATCAAACTCCCAACCTTTGACTCTGCAGCCAGAGACCTAAACCACTGAGCTATCCAGCAGTTTCCAACTGGAGGCTTTCATCACAAATGTATGTTGCAAATGGGAGTTATAAGGTCACACACACACACACACACACACACACACACACACACACACACACACACACACACACACACACACGCAAGCAAGCAAGCAATGCTAAAGCCATGCTTTCTAGGGGAACAAAAAGGAGGAGAAATTCACAGAAGAAGGCACAGGACTCAGTGAGATGAAGGGAATATCATAGGGATGGTGGAGAAAATACCAATATCAGTGCAGAACCCACTATTTTCAGGAGAAGAAGAGCCCTGGCATCGTGTCAACAAAGGTAACCAACCATTCAGGGTAACTATCCCTTTTATGTCATGCCTAGGCTGTTCCAATTGGAAGGGAAGATGAATGCTAAACACACACACATTGCATGGGGAGGAAAAGCTGGAGGCTGACAGTTCTGTTGCTGCTACTGCCACTGCCATCAGCTGTCCATCATTCACACGTATGGTCCTGGGCATATACTCATCCACAAACCCTGCTGCAGCATACCGAGCAGGAAGCAATAGCACTGATGGTGCTTCCATTCGAACCCCACTGGAAAGAAGGGAAAGAGGAGGAGAAGGAGGTAGCATGAGAAGAGGGACAGGTGGGGGATTCCACACACAGAGACCTCCAGAGCAGTCTCTCTGCCCAAGGAAAACTTTGCTCCAAGGGGTCCTCGAAGACGGAAACGTTGGAGGGCGGCTCAGAAAAATTGCGAAGGAAATCCATGGCTCTGGAGTGTTGCAGGTCTGCAGAACAGCAGCACCCTTACAGGGAAGGGAGTGGCAAGTGTGCTGCGTGCTGCACTTCACTGCCTTGGGAACCTGATTCACGGGGCCTCCGGTTAGAGCCGGCCTTGGGCAAAGTCTCTAAAGAACCAGGGATTTCCCTTTTTAGGGAAGCTGAGCTGGCCAGCTCTGTTTTTGCTAGTATGGAAAATTGCAAAAGACAAGAGCATGCACCCTTAATAGTCGTGTAAGCAAGAGAATTTCAGCAGCTGCAGCTTCTTATGTGAGGGCGATAAAAACAATCCTTGCTGATATTCCCTCTTTTACACAACCAGTAAAAAGTACAGGAGCCCTGTTTTATTGTGTGTCTGGGCACCCTAGTCTTTAGCTTCAGGAAGTTAAATTCATTTGTTTCAGCAGAGCTTTACGGAAGGCGGGGGCAACTCTTTAATTGGTGAAGCAGTCTGGGATCCTGCGCTTGATGTTCCTGTGTTGCTGATTTTAGACTGCATGTTTTTAATTTGACATCAGGGTTTCTTGTTGCTTTTATCATGCCATAAGCCATCTTGAGAGCTTGGCAGAGCACGTCCTCCAGGATATAAACTGCGAAAGAAATGCACTAGTTTTAAAGCCTTATGCTGCTTCCCTGGTGGCAATTCTTCTGGATCTGTATTGTCCAATTTATGTTTCATATATCATTTCAAAGTAGTGTGAACTCCTTCTCCTGTTTTTTTGTCACCTAGATCAGTGGTTCTTAACCTTTGTCTATGCTGCTTCCCTGGTGGCAATTATTCTGGATCTGTATTGTCCAAATTATGTTTCATATATCATTTCAAAGCAGTCTGAACTCCTTCTCCTGTTTTTTTTTTTTGTTTTTGTTTTTTGTTTTTGTCATCTAGATTCCCTACCCCCACCCCTCAATATCCTGGCCCCAATCCTCTTGCCTAGTTGTGCAAGTGTACCTTTTGGAGCCAAATTGCCTTAAGTTAAGAAATCACTGTAGACATTATATGTTGGCTACTGCATTGCATGACTCAGCATTCAACTGATGATGTCTACAGTGACTTCTTGTTTTGTTGTTTAGTTGTTAAGTTATGTCTGACTCTTTGTGACCTTCTTGTTTTGTTGTTTGGTCGTTAAGTCCTGTTTGACTCTTCGTGACCCCATGGACCAGAGCACACCAGGCCCTCCTATCTTCCACTGCCTCCCAGAGTTGGGTCAAATTCATGTTGGTCACTTCAATGACACTGTCCAACCATTTCGTCCTCTGTCGTCCCCTTCTCCTCCTGTCTTCACACTTTCCCAGCATCAGCATCTTTTCCAGGGAGTCTTCTCTTCTCATGAGATGGCCAAAGTATTGGAGCCTCAGCTTCAGGATCTGTCCTTCCCGTGAGCACTCAGGGTTGATTTCCTTCAAAATGGAGAGGTTTGTTCTCCTTGCAGTCCAGGGAACTCTCAAGAGTCTCCTCCAGCACCGTAATTCAAATGTTATTAGGTAGAAAGTGACTACATAATACAGTGACTTCTTAAGTTGAGTCAATTTGCCTCCAAAATGTATGCAGTCTTTGTAACCACACAAGAGGATTTGGGCCAGTACACTTTTAGTTTTTTTGTCCCCACTACTCTGTCTGGCCTCTTGGGTGAGGGCATAAGAAAGGCCCCTCTTGGCGACTGCTCCCAGCTTAGGGAACTCTTTCCTAAGGGAGGCTAAGTTGGGCTCCTCTCTGTGGTCCGTCTGCTAAGAGCCCAGTCTCTTTTCATTCAGAGAGCATTTGGGCAACTTAATGGGTGCTGAGAGAAGGTACTATCCTCTTGCAATATTGTAAGTGCAATGTTCTGTCAAGTTGATTCTGACTTTTGGTGACCCCTCCCAAGGTCCAGAAGCACTCCCAGAGTGTGCAGCTTGCCCAAGGCCACACCGGGTAGATCTTCTCTGGGGAGGCACAGTTATCCCCAACTCTGACCAAATGAGATGTCCAGCTAGTATACATAATTCTTAAACAGCCATGATTTTAAATTGCTTTTAATGTAGTTGTTGCTTTGATATAATAACCTGTTCAGTTTTGTTTTAATATTATAACTTGCTGTGTTGTGAACTGCCTTATGTCCCATTCTTGGTAGAAAGGCAAAATATAAATTAAACAAATAAGATCTAGGTATTTTAAAAGTGACAGTCCTCTGCAGACTTCATATGTATTGTGGCATAAACATTCACATATAGGCTGCAGTTGTATTTATAATTACTCAGCACAAATATGTTGTGCATTGTGTTGCATCATTCATAATACATGATTTCTTCTATTCTTTTCACTGTTTTGATTCTTGTTGCCTTCATGCAGAGACAGAAAATACTTGGTTCTACAGATGTTATTGTGATTTATTTGATTTGTTTTCTATCCTACCTTGTTAGATACTATGGGATTGCATTTACTATTAGCTGTAGCCAACATAACCGATAATGAAGGGTCATGAGGGTTGCAGTCCAACAACATCTGCCGTTGCTTCTCATCACAGCCTTAAGAAAGAAGCTCAAATTAACAACGGAGGGGGCAATTTAAAAATAGTCATATTTACTTTATTATTATTACAAATATTTTATAGGCATCAAAAGCTAATCGCAATTGGTGGATTGCATTGCATTCGAAAGTACCCAGTAAAGGATTTCGGTAAGATTGTATTATGGTATACACTTCATATTTTTCTGGCTAGCCTTACAAATTGCTTTCTGTTTGACAGAGTGGGAGTAGGAGGTGGAAGTAATTTTAAGGCATTTTCCCCATAGTTCTATTTTTGATCCAAAATATGTCCCTGCAATGTCTTTTTCTGGTAAGTAGGGAAATTAACAAAAGAAGCCTAAACATTTTTGTCTTAAAATAGCCTTTGATGAAAAGATTTTTCTGCCCTCTGCATCATTTGAAATATTTAAATATCTAATGTTTTTATGTGATTATTTAATTGTCATTATATGTTATGATGTTTTATATGTTGAATTTATTTTACATTTGTAATTATGTTTTTTGTTTGATTGAGTTGTGAACCCCTCAAAATAGCCTGGCTAGATGGGTAACATACTAAATAAACAAACGAAGGAAGGAAGGAAGGAAACTTTTAACTTTACAGCAATAGGTCAAGGTTTGAAAAATTATAGTACTATAGAAATATATCAGTAGCTCATTAGAGTTTCACCAGGTGTTATGGGATGGAGCTCTGCAATCCTGCAATGTAAGACTTCTAAAATGCAATGCTATCCATGTTTCTACGAGCGTAAATCCCTTGTAGTCCATGGGTGCTTATTCCCAGGGTGTTTATAGGAAGACAGGCTTGATAAATGATTATTCATTAATCTTTCTGGATTTTTAAAGGACAAATTAATGGTATGAGCACTTAATCCATTCATTGGTTAAGTATAACATTCAGAATGCCTCCACCTATCTTTAATTGAATTCAGTTATGCCATTTGTCAGGTTTCTTAGGTGATCATCATTAAGATACTGTTTAGATCCTGATCATCAGACTCTGTGATTCCCAGGGTGCCCAAACTGGGAACACTGAGAAACGCTGCCATGATAGATGTGACCAGTCACGGAATACTCTGCAAAACATACTGGGGAAGTAAACACAAAAGTGGCTTTTCTAAGATTATGTAATTTGTTGATGCCATTGGCTTTTATGCTTTTGATCTGTCATTGCTATTTCTGTTATATTTTAGTGTCTGTAGTTTGTTTGCCTTGGTTTTTAATTGTCTGTAAGGCACACCTCCTTGGCATTAGAGGAGTGGTATATAAATTAGAAAATAAAAATGCAAAACTAATTTTTTTAAAAACCATGGCCCTTTGTTTGGTCCATTCCTAGGAACAAATTGAAAGGGTTTAGGAAGTCGTAACCTGGTTAAGGCCAGTAATTTAAAAGGCCATTAAATGATTAAATTCCTTTGCAGATGGGCAGATGGTTCACCACTGTTGTATCAGAACTGGGAAGAAGGTGAAAAGAGAGCTGAGAGCACTCAGGGAGAAAAATGTGGTTTTATTTCTTCCCAGACAGGTGCATTTATATTTTTTGTTTTTTGTTTTTACATTCTGGAACTTTGGCTTAATAAACAGTTTGGATTCTAGACCAAGCATCTCTGGTTGCAATTAATCAGTGAGGTTAATGCTGACAGCAGTGCAGTTTTACCTCCAAATGTCATCAGCTTGTTAGCATGCCTCATTCTCAGTATCGGTGTTCATGTTGCTTACACATATAATGTAGGCCTGGGCCTCTGGTTGTCTGTGAACTATTGGAATCTTATGTAATTGCAAAGATCCAGATGAGATCAGTTCATGGAAGCCTTTTGAATAGCTGTCTGTTTTAAGAAATGCCTATATATTATAGGACACTTAATGCTATATAAAATATAAAAGAATGCTTTCCAAAGTTAGATCTGCACTTTACAAGGTAACTTGGGTTTTATTAGCAGACATGCAATTGTATTTCTTAGGACACTGGGGCTTTGAAAATTGTACTATATCTCTACCTTGTATCTGCAAACGTAAAAAGATATGGTCTGTTGAGAGAGAAATACCAAAAGAACAGAATCATCAAGGGACGTGTCCCAAAGGATGGCTGTATTTTGCATTCAAGGTACTTTCCTGTTTGTTTGCTTTTGAAATCCTTTCTAGGGTGTATAAAAACATGTCTTTAAAAGACAATTCAATGTTGCTAGTATTTATCCCCCAGAAAAGAGTGTTTCATAACCATACTGTTCCTGCAAATTTATATAAAAAAGCAAAAGCAAAGCAAAGTGTGCTGCTTATATACCGCCCCATAGCGCTTCAAGCACTCTCTGGGCGGTTTACAAGTTAATTATGCAGGCTACACATTGCACACACACACACACCCGTGAGCCGGGTACTCATTTTACCGACCTCGGAAGGATAGAAGGCCGAGTGAACCTTGAGCCGGCTACCTGGGATTGAACCGCAGGTCGTGAGCGCAGTTTTGGCTGCAGTACAGCAGTTTAACCACTGCGCCACGAGGCTAGGTCAGAATGGAGACAAATGTTGGGAATATATGAATACATTTGGAGATATAGGCTACATTTGCATATAATTAGCCAAGATCCTGTAGACAAAGATACTTGTGAATGGACTTCATGTTGGGAACACCATCCGTTGTCTATCCCTCTCAATTTTCTGCTCGTACAAGCAGATGTACAAGCTAGAAATTGGTTAATTGTCATTATATCCAAAACCAGGTTCTACATTGTTTTTCTAGAGCTAGCAACAGATCTTGGAGTTATAATCCTACAGTTCTGGATTCTGAAAGTGTATTCCAAAAAAATGACTTTCTCAAAATTTGATTCCTGCTTTCTTTGAGAATGGCTGCTGAGAAGCTGGAGCCAAGGAAGTTCAAATAATCCCAGCTGAATCCATTTTTCACAAACAAGTATGGCTGGAAAATGTTTTCTGCACTCTTACTCACCAATCCTATTAAGAAACATTTTGTTGTCTAGACATAATAATCTTATGCTACACTGTGATGAATTATTATTGCAATTATATTCCACCCATTAGCTCAAATTATTACCTCAAATTAGGTATGTTCAAAGGAGCTTACAGGCTTTAGAGGTACCTCTAAAGCTTTTGTCCTTTGCAGTTTGTGATATCTACAAATATATGTTGCACAGCATAACTGATGCTTTGGAAGAGGAGTTTTAATACATTTGGGTCTCTCCCTCCCTCCCTCCCTCCCTCCTCCTTCTCAATGGCTAGAAATTGAATACTAATTAATTTTAATGCAGTTGCCGTGCACAATTTTGATTTAAGAGTGGTATAAAAATTAATTAATTAAATCTGTAACCCCATTCTTCTTTGCATAACCTCCAGCAGCCGATGCTAAATCATTAGTGCATGGCAATGAGTGGGAGAGACAAACCCCCACTACACCTGAGGGCAGGGATAAGGCACCACAGCTAAGAATTCTTCTCTCCCCCCACCTTTAATTCTCCTCCGCCTTTCAGAGATGTTCACACAACCGCTGAACATCACTCATTGCTTCCATTTCTCCCTCTCTTTAGAATTGTAGACTGTTCCTATTTTTTTAATGCTCTCCTAATCAGCTTTCTCTTTTTCTTCCATATTAACTTGCTTAATGTATGGCATATACTTGTTTCCATCTCTTCCTTTAACTTCTTGCTTTATTCTTTCTAACCCAGCTCTTGTCCAATCGTGCAACTAAAATTCTACACGGCTGATTCAGGACCAAAATATAAGTGAGCTTTACGTTTGTTTTTCAGTGCCAATTTCAACAGCTGGTATAGTACATGGACTAATAGTTACTGCAGTTGCAACAAATGTGGAGGATTTAACACTTTCCTCCTCCTGTTGTCGTCTTGAGAAAAATCCCTATATTAAAACTAAATTTTGGTGGGAAATCTTGCACTAGAACTGGCATCTACGCCAAAGTGCTGTATAGGCATTAGAATGCACATATAAATGATCTGGGGGAAAGTGGGTTGTCATTAGTTTGAGATTTCAGGGACATGAACAAACATGGAATTATTCCCAATTAAATACAGTAAATATTTGTTTCTGTGATCAGTGCTTTCTGGTACAGATTCCAAAGGATCCAAGCCATCAGAAAAGTTGGCATTCTGCCGAAACATTCTGTAATCACTTTGGTGCATCACTTGCTTCCATTGAAAATGAAGTTGAGCAAGGTACTGTATAGTAAGTCCTTTATATGATTATACAAATTTGAATATCTTATGGATATGACACAGCTATTTGTTGTTGGTGTTATGTGCTGCTGAGTCACCTCTCACTTAGAGCAATACTATGAATGAGTGACCTCCAAAACACAACTGTAACCAGCTGATATCCAGGACATAGTGAATAAAAATAAGGGTAAGCTTTTAATAGTTTTGAAGGCCTTTATAGGTAATTCATGAGCATTGGTGGGAAATAAAAGTAAACGGAGCTGAATCCATAAATTCCTATAATAATTTGGATCCATTTTCCATTATGCATCTTTGCACTGCAAAAAAGGACACATGAGCTTTCTATCTCACCATATTGGGCTGGATATACCGTAACTCTCTTTCAGAGGGAAAAAGTGTTATAGATTCAAATATTAGCTGCTTCCTGCTGGGGTGGTAATATACTGCTGGTCAACCTTTAGCTAGAACCATGAACAGGAGCTTCCCACTGTCCCAGCTGTACAGAAGAGAAATGTATATAAAGTTAGGAGACGGGATATCTCTGTCTTTGAATCTGTCTGTCTTTCTGTTAGCACCATTTGCCCAAGACTATGAAACCAATGTAGGCTTAGAGTCAATACAGTCTGAAGCCAGAGGAAACAGTCAGAGGGACAAGTTTACCGTTGTTGTGGGGCAATCCTGCCCTGGATATGAAGAGAGTAAACCTTTCCCCAGTGACAGTACAGGCACTCCTCACTTAATGCCATTCTTACATCTCAGTTGTTAAGCAAATTGGTCGTTAAGTCAGGAGCTTAAAGGCAGAAGCAGGCAGGAGCTTAGCAGGAAGAGGAGCAGCAGTAGTATTGCTGCCAGCTTGGTGAAAAAAAGAAATACTGTAAAAGCTTCCTCATTGCTCCTGGTTGTTCTGAGCTCGGGCATTGATCTTGCCTGGTTTGGTGGCAGAATGAAACAAAGACTGAGAAAGATGGATTCCCTGTGCTGGAAAACTGAGTGGTTTTAAAACAAGTAGGCCGTTAAGTGAGGAGTGCCTGTAGTCATGCCAAGGTATCTCAGCAGCTCTGGCTTGGTTGAAATGGGGGCAGATATAATATGTCCAATTCTCTATAGCTGCATAACTTCCCATGAAGGGTTTAGGGTATCACAGTAAGAGCTATCCCATCCTGAGTTACACTTGGAAAGCCACAGTGGGTGGCTACCATGTAAAGCTGCATCAGGGAAAGACAGGAGAACCCATCCTTTCCCCCATCAGTTCCTCACCAATGGCAGATAACCGTCACAGAGAAACCATTTGTCATGTTGAATGGTGCAGAACTGAAACCTGTTTGCAAAACCAGTTGAACATCTGAGGCCTAGACTAAAATGAAGAGAGCAGCAGCAATCTCTTCTTTTCTCTTCCAAAAAAAAAAGGGGGGGAGTCACAGTTATTTAGAACACTGGTTCTTAACCTTGGGTTACTCAGGAGTTTTGGACTGCAACTCCCAGAAGCCTTCACCACCAGCTGTCCTGACTGGGGTTTCTGGGAGTTGCAGTTCAAAAGCATTCGAGTAACAAAGGTTAAGAACCACTGATTTAGAACAGTATATAGGAGGAGCTTCCAAGGAAGCCGATGGAGCATACCTCTGGCTAAATCGGTCAGCAGAACTGAAACCTGTTTGCAAAAACAGTTGAACATCTGAGGCCTAGACCAAAATGAAGAGAGCAGCAGCAGTCTCTTCTTTTCTCTTCCAAAAGTGGAGGGGGGGGGAGTCACAGTTATTTAGAACAGTATATAGGAGGAGCTTCAAAGGAAGCCAATGGAGCATACCTCTGGCTAAATCGGTCAGGCACATAGGTCAGGGCATATGCCTTCATTGCAGCATGAACAAGAGGCAGAGGATCGGAAAGAGTATGTGGGAAGAGAGGAAGACAGAATTCCCAGTTAAAATATTAACATGGGGTCATGAAGAGTCGGACACGACTAAACAACAACAACATTTTGGTATTTGATGCTGTTCCCTTAAGCCAATTTGATTTCTCATTTCATTGTGACTTCAGCAACTGCTAATTTATTAAAAACCATTGAAAAGAAATTACATTTTTGTTTCACTGTTGAGTTAAAACCTGTATCCTTGGATTGATTTATGTTTATACATACACAAACAAATGAATAGAGATACGTATCAAATAAACACACACACACACACACACCTGACTTTGTATGGGATTTATTTCTCAGTGGTGTTTTGCTTTACCAGCTTTCATCACAATGAACCTATTTGGGCATAAATCTAATGTTTGGATCGGCCTGAAGGGCAAGGATAATGAAAGGTGGATTAATGGTCAAGATGTGAAATATACCAACTGGGATCCTGTAGATGAAATTCAGGCAAGTGTTTAATTATCTTTGAAGCTCACCTTTTAAAGATTCTTCTCCTTAGTTCTATCTAATAAATGTGGTCATTGCATGAACAGAAATTGTAAACTGTTTTCTAATAGATTGGAAGGGATCACAGTGCATTTGCATTTCTTTGAAATTAGGCACACCAGTTGCAGACTGGCAACTAAAATAAAGCAGTCCCCTAATATAACACTGGCAGATTCCTACTGAGAGCATCCAACTTTACTCCTCTTTCCTCTAAAGGAAATAGGGAGTCGGGGAGGATCAATTGGGGGGGGGGCAAACAAAAATGAATCCAAGGGCTGGTAACCAGGACAGGGCTTACAACCATTTTCCAGATTCGATTGCATTCCCAAGGGGCAGGGATATGTCAAGAGAAATGAATCATGACTAATGATTTTATTTAGAGGAAAATATTTGAAATGCATCTAAAAGGGGTAGTAAAATAATCAGTTTCATTATTATTTATTTAGATTTTGTATTATAAACATAAAAAATCCCACACAAATTCATTTCTCTTGATGTATCTCTTTATTGTCATTCAGGGGGGCCCCCATATACTTTAAAAACAGAGAAAGGAAGTCACTTTTAAAAAATAATTTCCATTTCCTCCTTGCCTGACATTTCATAAACTATTGCTCATTTCCTATTTCATCGGATAAAGTATGTGCACAAATTGGTTAATTTCACATGTACTTTGCGAATGCTCTGAGAAACATTACTGACAGCACTCAGGAGCATCAGAGAATCTCAGTTCTGTGAGCCTCTGATACTCAGACAAACCTAAGCAGTGAAACCTAAAGAAAGGAAGTGAACAGACTGTATCTGACTAGGGAAGGAGGAAGTAAAGAAAGTACTGTACAGCAAGAGATGGGCGGCTTTCTTGAGCCATTAAGATAAATTATCTGCCTTTTAGTGCATTTTTGAAAAGGAAATAAAAATCCTAAACCCAACTTTTTAACTTTTAACAACACTTTTCTTAAAACTGATCTGGAAATATCCCAGGGCTGCAGTAGTCATAGGAAAGCAGTATTCCTGGTTTTGGACAACTGTTTAAAAAATTCTGGCAGTCTTGGGGCTGTTCTGTGGATCACATGCAGCCTGTGGGCTTCACGTTGCCCACCCTTACGCTAACAGAAGGAAAAATCTCAAAACGGCACAATGGGGACTGAGTGTATGCAGTGACCACAGATTTCTGACTGACAGGGTGAAAAAACTGAAAACTTGTGGGGAGTGGAGTGGAATATATTAGGGAACTGAAGACATTGTGTTGCAGTTCTCACTTCCCTTTAAGTATTTTCTTTTATTATCATTTGCATAGATAAAGGAGTTCTAAAGGTCTTGCATTATTGATTTCCACTATAATATATTTATTTCAGAATCAACATGATTACGGCATTGATGCTCAGGAAAATGTTTCACTGTGCACGTTGATATTAAACAATCCTAGTTTTAGTTCAGTGGGGAAATGGTACCTGGAAAATTGTGAAGAACGCTATGGTTTTATCTGCCAGAAAGCACAAGGTAGAGAACTGTGTTTGCTTTCTTTCATACTGCAAAAGAAGGAAAGAAATATGACTTTAAGTTTTAGTATATCTCTCTGATGTATTTAGCCCATGTATGTCACTGGCCCATTTCGTCAATATTCCTATCTGTAAAGCTTTGTTGGGTTTCAGTGAATGAGAGGAGCTCTGCTTCAACACTATATTTTCAGAGCAAACGGAATGCAACGGAAGGTTTGCTCCATAGGCACACTTAGAGCCTTCCCTGTATACCCTAGCAACACAAAGTTGCCCAACCTTTTTCCTTGCTAAGTGTCATATTCTTGCCTTGCCTAGAGGATTAGGGCCATTGACATGATGTTTGCCTTGTCTTGTTTAGTACAGTGACAGTGGGGGGGGGGGAATAAAGACTTCCCATCCTTTTTGTGTCCCTCCTACAAAGCATTGTTTTTTCTTACTTTGTTTTCCTTCCTGGAGGTTTAGCACCATTATGCTCCCAGTGTTCATTTCTATGGTCAGAGTTTCTCAACTGGAAGTGATCAGTTAGATTTTTCAGTAAGGTGCTTACCACCACCACACAAAAAACACAAGTCACCATCCAGTGAGAAAGTTGCATCAGGGAATCAGGTTTTGAAATATATATAATTTTTTTCTAAAAGGAGAAATAGTGGTTCTCAGAGAAGTGGGTGGATGTCTGTTTCTACAGTGAAAGAGTCCCTAGTCGGAAGCTTTTAATTAGGTTTCAATTAAATACAAAAAACACTGACACACAGTTTTTAAAACTCTAGAAAAGAAACACCAGCAGAAAATTGTTTTTTAAAAAATAATTTCTAAAGTATTTTCTTAAGGGAGAAGACGTTTCCAGAAAAGTGATTTTTAAAAGTGCAGTTTGGACACAAATCTTACTAAATCACAATCCTCTTTGAGGACAAGATGGAAAATGAGAGAAGAATTTTTGCCTCCTGTTGAAGAGCCTTTAGGGAAAACATTTTCAGTCTAAAGTTCTTATCATTACTCCTGATGCAATACATGAATTAGGAATGAAATTGTTAACAAATTTTCAGATTTTGAAAATTATATAACGCCCTATTACAGTGTTAGGAGGATGGAATAGACAAGCTCATTTTGCAGGAGATTTGCTAAATATGCACAAAAAATTGGAACAAATTTTCTAGAAAGTGTGTAGCATTATTTTGTTCGTTTGTTTAAAACATTTATGTTCCATTCCTTTTTTTTTCCACAAGGAAGGTCTTTCCAAGTCATGTGGTATAGAACTTACGTTACTATTTAGTGTCAGTGTTATACCTAGCACAGAACAGAATGCAGAATTAACATGTTCCCTGCCCTTAGTACTTAGAGGCTTGGTTAACAATTGCATTGCAGCTGGGCCAGACTGAGGAAAGACAGGTAAACTACTATAGCAAGTAGGATTGTCATAACCACTCAACGGCAATATCCTTATGTTGCATCCTTCTCTAGTTTCTGTATGTTATATTGGAGTGGAGTTACTTTTGAGGGAAACAGATTTAGCCATGGGGCCTTCAACTGCTAAGCGCTAGCTTACTCTCAATGTTGCAGGTGTACAAGGCTTGATTTAAACCAGTTGGGGAGTAAGAGGTCTGGCAAAAAAATAATAAGGTCTCATTTTTGCTCATATGCCTTTTTTTTTTTTTGGCACTTTATTCATTCCCAGTGAGTTATTTTAAAGGAAAGAAAGGCACATGCTATTTTAGGATACCATCTGAGTCACATGTTTCTCTGTTAATTTTAGTAAAGCAATTTGGGTCATTTAAGAAATGCCAATCGCTGCCAGAGCCACAGTGGAACAAACATGTACCTCCACCATCCTTTTGCAGTTTGATATATCTCTCTGATCTCTTTCTTGAAATGAAATAGGAAATATGCCACCCTTGGTGGAAGCTTTGGAGCAAGGCATTTGTGCTTGCTGAGATGGGCTTCAAGCTTCATTGTGTGTGAGCTTTTCTGTTTCTCCTCCTTTTTTGTACAGCATCTGGCAACTTAGAGCAGAGGAAACTCTTCTCCTTATTTGGGCACTACTAGTAGTAGCCGTAGCAGAGAGATACTCAAAGTTTTGCTGCCTGGAGAGTGTTGGTACTGGAATTGGCTCCTATTGGAAATGTACATTCTAAGGGTGCGTTTGCACAAATTCAACATAAGATTATGTTTCGGATTTAGATTCTCAACAGAATTTAGCAGCCAAGTTCTGTGATGGCCTGTTGCAGGCTGAAGTATGTAGGGAACAACAAGAGTTAGTGCAAGTGCAAAAGTATAAAAGTTTCCCTTTGTGCTACAGTTTAGTTATGATTCAAAATCTCTATGACAATTTTCTCTATGGTAATTTTCTCAGAAAATTATGTACCATGGTCTTCATGTAAATCAACAATGTTATATAAAGGAATGGGGAGCCTCTTGTCGTTCTACTACCGTCACCTATTTATTCATTTATTTTATTACATTCATTGCATCTATAGGCGGACGTTCTGCCAAAAATATCACTCAAGGCAGCTCATAATAGTAAAATGTGAATAAAAATGGATACCGATAAAATATAAAAGCAGTTGTTTAAGGGCTAAACTGAAAGTACATCAGTAAAAGAAAACCAGCATTTGTTTTTCCACTGTAATCCATCTTGAATGCCAAGGAACTGTTTGGGCTAAAGGGATTTTCCTGCTGGTACAAAGAAAACAGAGGGTATCAATCAAGCGTATCTTTACAGAAGGGTCCAGAGCCTAAACTAGCCACTAAGAAAGCATCTTTCCCTTGCATCTCCATCAGGGGTGATAGGACTAAGAGAAGGGTGTCCGCTAAATCTCTTCTTAACCCCTCAATAGGGTTATAAGGGAGAATTCCACCATGCAAATAATCTTGGACCAAGTCATACAGAGCTTCATAAATCATAAGTGACACTTTGATTTGGTATTACTCTTTGAGAAGACTGTGTTCGAAAAGTTCTAATTTATTAAAAGTAGATGGGAAACAAGAAAATATTTTAAGGACTTTTCCAGTGACTTTTGATGCTTTGGGGTTTTTTTCTTGCCACAGATACATCTACACGTGTTATAGACCCTTCACTGATGTACCCCATACCAAATACCTTGGAATATGCAAACAGGACATACATTTTGATCAGTGGCAATATGACTTGGTACATGGCTTCAGAATCATGCAAGGAGAAGGGGGCTGAATTGGTCAGCATTACGAACCATTTTCACCAGGCCTTTCTCACTGTAATTGTAAATCGGCTGGGCTATGCTCACTGGATTGGATTGTTCACTTCAAATGTGGGTATTTAAAATTGCCTCTTTGATATTGCTTGGCAGGTGTGTTGAAACCTAACTTGTCAGGATCTGAAGTGAATGTGTGTGTTTTTATATCAAAGCAGCTATTGATTTCAACATTTTTTTCAGTTTAGACAACTGAAATGAATGTGGAATTGGGAAGCAGCAGGAGTACACAATTACAGGTTGAATCCAGAGTTTTTTTATTCCAGCCAATAGAAATGTCCTCAAGCAAGTTCTGATCAAAACATTCCCAGGGGTAGAAAAGTGGGAAGACAGTCTTCACTAACCCACTCCACTCTCTGCCCTGGTGTTCTTATATAGATCATTGGAATAAGAAGAAGAAAAAATAGACTGTACTTGACAGGTCCACATTGTCAGTTTGTACCAAATATTCTTAAATTGACCTGATCTAGAATTCTATAATGTAATGCTAGAATCACTGTTAAATGCAGAAAACGTACAATAGAAAAAGCCTCCTCACAAAGGGATATGGCCAGAAACAAAGAGTTGTAATGAACTGTGTTATTATGGAGCCCAGAGTTCAGAGGGGCAATTACAAGGAGCTGATTATTTGGACTAAAAAGATCCTGTTGACATTCATTCTACTCTTGTATCAAGACTAGAGATGGGGAAGACTCACCATTTTGGCGAGTTATCCTGCTTTGTGAGTTGTCAAAAGCTGACGACTCATGAAGCACGAAGCTGCCCCTGTGAACCGACGAAGCACAAAGGTATTCGTCAGTTCATGGGGGGTTAATTTAAAAAACCACCCTGTCCCACCAATGCCTCCCACGACACCCCCACCTAATCACCATCTCCACCATTGCTGCCATCTCCAGCTGGCCTCCACAGCCATGGCCTGTAGAAAGGGACACTGGCTGCCCTTTGCAAAGATGGTGACTATAGCTTCATTTAGGGTAGGGAAGCTGCAGTTGCCATCTTTGCAAAGGGCAGCCTGAACTCCCTTAAGACAGGCCAAGAGAATCCAGGCTGCCCTTT